TCACCATCAAGGACTGAAGAGATGGCTCAGCAGCTAAAAGCACCCATTGCTCTTACAGATGTCACACATACACAGCGGCTCCCATAGTGGCTCACAACCATTCATATCTCCAGTTCCAGGGCATGGGACACCCTCTTCTGACCTCCACAGGCAATGCATGTCCTTGGTGTACATGCACACATGCAGGCAAAACACTCACGCTCATAAAATTAAAAAAAAATCTAAAAATAACTGAAAATGTTAAGAAAAATTAACCACCCCGCCTTGGTTGCCACCGTTACTAATATCCTCCATGTTTGGGGGGGGAGCATGATAGGCCTTCTGTGAGACTGAAATTTTTGTCAGCTTTCTGAGGGGAGGGGTTGACAGATGTGTGTAGTCATGCAAACTCTACCACACTTGGGACAGGCACGGGAAGAAGCCAAAAGAGGGTGTTGGATCCCCTGCAGCAGGAGTCACAGGTGGTTTGTGAGTGGCCTGGTGCAGGGAATTGAACCTGGGTCACCGGCAAGAGCAGCAAGCGCTCTTAACTGCTGAGCCACCCTCTCTAGTGCTAAACTTTATGCATTAAAAGAATAATTATTATTATTAGAACATATCTATTTTTAAAGAAGCATGGCATTGGACTTCTGCTTCGGGATCAGAAAGAGTTGTTTATTCTCCTAAAAATGCATGGAGAAGCAAAGTCATGCAACAATGGCTGTGGCACCCTGTCAATGGCAGCTAGAACAGTGACAACACTTGGGGTGACATCATAGATAAACTCTAGAACAGTGATGACCTCGGGGTGACATCTGTATAAAGTCTAGGGCAGTGACGACCTTGAGGTGACATCCTGTATAAAGTCTAGGACAGTGACGACCTTGAGGTGACATCTGTATAAAGTCTAGGACAGTGAGAGCCTTGGGGTGACATCTGTATAAAGTCTAGGACAGTGACGACCTCGAGGTGACATCCTGTTTAAAATTGTGAACATGAGGCCTCTGTTGTCCTAGGACATCTGTTCTTCCTAAGATCATTCTACTGTGAGTTTGAGTTCCTGATGAATAAAGGTCACCGCAGGCCACAAAACACCATGGGTCACCTGACTGGCCAGGGCAGGGATGAACCAAAAGAGCACGCTAAGGGAAGGAAGCCATTCCTAAATGCTGTTTGACTCCCTTTATGTCACCAGGACAGGCAAACCCAGGGGAAGAAAGTTGCCTCAGCGCTGACTACGGCAGCAGTGAGATCAGGCCCTGCCTCAGACAGGCTCAGAGCTCTGGAGCCACAGCAAGGCATCAGGAGGTCTCAGGGAGGTGTGTGAGAGAAGAGAAACAAACCTGAGACTCAAAGGCCCCAAATAAGCAGCAAGCTTTTTCTCCCAACACTGCTATCTCTGCCAGCCAAGTAGAAAGCTCCGAGGAACCGAGCAGTTGGCTCTTTCCTCACCAGAGCTTAGACGTGTGAGCAAGGAAGCAATAAAACTTTTGAGGAAACCAGAAGGGGGCCATTTTTGTGATCTTAGTGTAGATAAATTATTTTTGTTTGTTTCTTTTCTTTTTGTCTGTGACAAGATCTGGCTTTATGTAGCTCAGGTTGGCCTCAAATTCATCATGTATCTGAGGTTGGACTTGATCTCTTTAGCCTTCTGATTTCTCCTGAGTTCTGGGATTAAAGGCGCTCCATTAGTCCCATCTGCCTGGTTTCGAATAGAAATTCTTTAAAAAGGCAATGGGGTGCCTTCCTTTTCTGTCTCTCTCCTGAAGAGGTAGCTGCTGTCGTGGCTTCTCTTCTCCCCCCCCCCCCCGTCTCTCTCTCTCTCTCTCTCTCTCTCTCTCTCTCTCTCTCTCTCTGTTCTTCCCCCTTCTTCCCTTTCTCTTTCCCTTTCATAACCCACTAAATACCCATTTTCTCTGCAAATAAAAAAAGACAATAGGGCTTGTGAGATGGCTCAAGGGAGCAAAGATGTTTGTCATCAATCCCTGAACCCACGTGGGAGGTGGAAGGAGGAATTGACTCCACACATATGCTGTGGCATGCTAGTTCCCTAACATTATACACACACACACGTGCATGTGCATGCACATGCACACACACACACAATAATAACACTTAAAGCAAACCTAAAGATCTGATCAATTATAGTAACTAAAATTAAAAACCTTAGCAGCAGTCAAAGACAGTGCTGAGAAAGTGAACAGGAAGTCGTGAAGAGAAAGAATACTCTCAGTGTGCGTATTCACAGAGACACATGCAGAATATCCAAAAGATCCCCAAATCACTATGGAAAATCCAGACAGCTCTATAGACCAACAAGCACACAGAGATGTCAAGATTCAAGAGGAACAAGGCAAGGTGTTAAAAGTCAGTTATCAGGAAAATGTCATTACGGTCTCTGTGAGGATGACTAAAGGGAAAAGCAAAGAATACCAAGAGTTAGCACTGCTATGGGGCAACCGCAAGGACACAATCTGTGGAGCGAGATTTGATCTGACCACTCAGTAGCTTCTTCTGGAGTTAACCCTGTGCTCCCCCGCCCCCGAATCACTAGCTCCACGCCTAGGACTACAAGTTCACTACAATACACAACTACAAATGCTTAAAAGCTTGAGTCACCCACAAAGAAATAAGGTGTAAGTTACATGTCATGTAAGAGGCTGAAAAAGGAAACACACCCAAATGAAGACAATAGCCATCACTGGTTCATGGGTTAGGGGAAATTTCACCTCCTTTCTGTAGCTGATTTTCAATGAATATGTGTTACTTTTTGTAGTTCCTTTTGTTTGCCGAGACAGTGTCTCTCTGTGTAGCCCTGGATGTCCTAGAACTCAGTATGTAGAATAGGCTGGCCTTGAACTCCAAAGCTCTGCCTGCTCTGACTCCCAAGTGCTGAGATTAATGGCCACCATACCCAGCATATATTATTTTTATAATCAGAAGAGCCTTTAAAATAAAGCACACTAACATTTATTGAGCTCCTGCTGTCTGCTAATACTCCATGAATTATTCACGCAATCAATCGTCAGTGACATTGTGAGGAAGCCTGAGAGGTCGGAAGCAAGGCTTTGAGAACCCCGCAATGTGGCCGTGTGGACGATGGCGGAAACCCCAGCGCTCAGGTGTGTGTGTTTAATCTCTGCTGTCATCCTCTGAATCCCATTTTACAGGTAACCTAGAGGACACCTGAGCATTGGCAGACTGGTCCAGCTCCCGTCAGTTTGACTTCTTACCCGCTGTGCAATCATAGGCAAGTTCTTTGACTGCACAGAACTCCACTCAGTTCTCTCATCTGAGAATTGGGTTGATAACAGAACCTACTTCAGAGCTCTTCTTAGTCTGGATGTCAAACGTCCCACGGGTTCCTGCGTGGGAACACTTTGACCTCCTCTGGTGGTGCTGTTTGGGAGGTTGGGCCTAGATGGTGGATGTAGAACACAGAGGACAGGCCTTGAAGAATACAAGCGAGGTCCGCTTCCTCTTGGCCTCTGCTTCCCGTGCCCCTCCATGACAAGTCAAGCTGAAAGCCTCTGTCGCCATGGACAGAGCTTCTCTATCCACCATGCCCTCCCCACCATGGATGGACAGCACCCTCTACTGTGAACCAGCCTTCCCCTTAGCTTGCTCTTGCAAGCTATCTTGTTTCAGTGATAGGAAAAGTAACTGTAGACAGCGTTATGAAGATAAAAGGGCAAACTCAAGGGATGTGGTGGGAACCAACTCGGTCCCCAGGGCACTCGCTCTCTCCAAGGTGTTTATTCAGGCCCTAAGGTGTCTAAGAAGCTGTCTGAGTAGCAGCAGGCGGGGCTGGGAATGTTTCCAGGCCACTGAAAGATCTAAACCTGGTCTCAATAGCCAGCTTTGGGCAGAGGTTTTCATTCAACCCTTCGACAACCATTTCCTGAGTCCTGGCTGTAAGCTGGCACTTTGGTAGCATCCCTGGTGAGTTTTGGGGTCCCTTTGCCTAGAGGACAGAGCTACTCTTGGCAATGGCTCCAGCGGGGACAGCACCTGGAGGCTTCCCTTCCCCCACCCCATCTAACCAGCCCCTTGGTGTCATGAAGCCTATCTCTGGCCTCCCCGGGCTATCTTTCCTGAGCAGCTCCATGGAGCCTGCAGAATTACGTCCTATCCCGTCTCACTTCTGCCTTTGGATCCTGCCCTGAAGTCCAAGCGATCAGTCTAGAACACAGAGCTGACCAAACCCTTCTTAACTTCAACTATGCCGTGTTCCTGTTTCCCATAACGATCCTTCACACCTGACTCCTTGTTTATATTTCCAGTTATATCCCCCACCTGTCCCATCTTGACACTGTTGCCTCTGTCCCCTGAATGTCTTTGCAGTCTCACAATTCAAGCCTTGTTGGCCGTCCCCAGCACTATGGAGCTATGCAGTCATATCACCCACCATTGTGTGGGTCCACTGGAAAACTTTTCCACGCTTCTCGAATCCCTTTCCCAGGCTGCCTCCCAGAGAAGGCCTTAGCAGACTTCCTCTTCTGTGCTAAACTGGCTCCCTGTCCACACTTCTGACTGGCCATACTCTGAAGTCATCCCTATGTGTGTCCCTTTTTGTCCCTCCACTGTTCCCAAGGCAGAGATAGGATAATTGTCTCTGCATCCACTTGTCCAGTGGTTCTCAGCTGTCCCAATGCTGCGACCCTTTAATACAGTTCCTCATGTTATGGTGACCCCTCCCCCGCCACCATTATTTTCATTGCTACTTCATAACTGTAATTTTGCTGCTGTTATGAATTGTAGTGTAAATATCTGTGTTTTCTGTTGGTCTTAGACCACCCTTGTGAAAGGGTTCTTTGACCCCCCAAAAGGGTTTATGACCTACAGGTTGAGAACCATTGCCCTAGTCAGTAGGGACTCTGATTACCTGGGTGGAGCCAGGTCAGAGAGAACACGTCAGGGTGAAGAAGGGAGCAGTGTGTTCCAGGGCCCTGGGGGCTTATGACCTTATGGCTTCCCAACAGACCACTCTTCCCATTCCTCCCAGACCCCTCTCCCCTCACCTCTGCAACTTCCCCACATCACAGGAGATGTTCTCTGATGGCCCGCACGTGGTGAAGCACTCAGCAATGTCATTCAAGTCAAAGTTGTCATACTCATGGTTCCCCTTGAGCAGGCAAACATTCCTTGACTCTTCAGTGGTCTCAACATACTCTGGATTCTCTTCAGATGGTATAAGTCTTTCGCCTTTTACTAATGGAGGAAACAGAGCGACAAGGGGCAGGTAGCAGAGGGGCAGCAGACTAGGTAGGTAGCTGCATCCGTCAATCAGCTAGCTGCCCTCCAGCAGGCTCCACCCTCCCCAACTCCCAAGAGCTACCCCTACCTCACGGGGCTGGTGTGGTGACTGGGGGAAAAGCATGGCATGTGATTCTCTAGACAAAGGCTTTCCATGCAGTGCGCCCTGAAGAGCTTTCTCTGCCAGTCCCGTCACCCTCGAATGTCTCCTCCGCAGAGCCTGCCTGGTTCCCTGCATTGCTCCATTGGATCCTCCCAGGCCTGGAAACTACAGCCGGCTCTAACTCACAAGTCTTGCTTGACCTTAGCCTCCCAGCTTTGCCTGGGGTAGGTAGGGGCTGCAGCAGGCCCAGGTGCAGGGAGGGGACGATGACACAGGGGCTGGAGCAGTCAGAAGGTGGAAGCTACTCTAAGACTAGACAGAGCTAGACAGACCAGCTTCTGTGACTTCTACTTAGAGCCCTGTGCCGCGGAGCCCAGAGGCTTCCTGTCACAGCCTGGCTGTTTGTCCTCAGGAAAGTTACTCAATCTCTCTGAGGCTTGATCTTCTCACCCTTTTTGTTTCAGGAGATGGAAACAGATTATACACCTGGGCACACAGCCCATCTCATGTAGGACTATGTGGTTTTGTTTTGTTTTGTTTTTTTCTGAGACAGAATCAGTCTTTCTACATATCCTGGGCTGTCCTGGAACTCACTATGTAGACAAGGCTGATCACAAACTCACAGAGAGCCAACAAGGTTTCTCTGTGTAGCTTTGGAGTCTGTCCTGGAACTTGTTCTGTAGACCAGGTTAGCCTCCAACTCAGAGATTTGCCTGCCTCTGCCTCCTGCATGCTGGGTTTGAAGGTGTTTGCCACCACCTTACGAAGTGACTTTTAATTGAAGTAAAATTGGTGTGTGTGTGTGTGTGTGTGTGTGTGTGTGTGTGTGTGTATCATCCATTGTCTCTATCTTTATTAGCTTCTGGAAAAACTTCAGGAAAGGCTCATATCACAGGACTCTCTGCATCAGATTTTCACCACGCGAGGTTGGAGTGTGGCTCAGGAGAGCATCTATCTGGTATGTACAATGGGTCAGTCCTAGTGTCCAGGGAAGTGAGTGTGGACAGGGGTGGGGTTCACTAAGCAAGTCACTTAGCATGTGGGAAACCTTGTCTCCAAAAACAAATGCAGAAATGACTGTTGCTAGGCTTTATCAGTTTCCCTTCAGAAAACACGTGTTCACACTCGAGACCCTCCACTCGCCACCGGCCCCTTTCCCTTCTACAGCCACAGCCCATTCCTCTCGCTTCAGGCTCAGGGTGTCAGGCAAGCAGCTACCACTTTCGTGCCCCCTTTTAGCACCACACATGCTTCTCGAGTGTGTGAGTAAAAGGACTGGGGGGTAAATGGAATATGGCATCCGATGCACCACAAAGGGCAGAATCCAACATCCTATATGAAGCTGCCAACTCCTATGTCACTCAGATGACTGACATCACCCAGTCCTGAGCATCTCTGCCACCATTAGATCCACGTCACCACTTGGAAAAGCCTTGCTGGCCTTCCCAGGGTTGCCTGGCAGCCTGCTCTGCCCCAGGATGTGCTCCGGCCATGGAAAAGACAGCACTGTCCTTTTCTATCTACTTTTGTATCTGGAGGCTCCAATAGCCTCCAGAAATAGCTTCAGAAATGTTGTGCAGCTGAGGCTGAACTCAAACACCTGATCCTTCTGCACCTACCTCCCAGGTGTGAGTATGTCTCATAGTATCTGCCCACTTTTGAGCCAGACATTGAATTCTGTCCTTTACCAATTCTCCTAACATCTAAAGAAAAGAGGAGATTATTTTAAACCAAAAGATGCTGACCCATGTGGCCAGTCACAAGCCCACAGGTGACAGATATGCAGAGAAGTGGACCCCGAGGATACTTGTCAAAGCTGGAGGAAACAAAGGCAGACAGGGCACCGAGACAGGAGCACCACACCACTCCATAGAGTCGGCACTCCGCAGCCAAGGACGTGGAGCCGCCCACTGAGGTAAGGGTGGGAGCTGGCTGCCCTGCGGTAGAGCAGGACTAAGAACCCATGTTGGTATATTAAGCAGAAATGAGTGTGACAGGAGTGGCCTGGGTCCCAGCTCCGATCACTGATGACACTGAGCAGCGCTGACAGGGAGGGGGAGCCTGTGATGGGTGGACTATGGGGGCAGAGCACTTGCCTACCCTTCCAGGCTCAGACTCCAGAGGCCCCAACACCTCTGTCTGGAACCCAGAGGCTACTGAATAGCTCTTTTGGCCCACCATGTCCTAGAACCAGGTTCTAGCCCAGCTGGGATGGATGGACATTTATCTTTCCACCCACCCACAACACGCTATGGAGTGACAGAGGGAGCTGAGACCCAGCATGATGGGATTTATCAGGACAGAATGACCCAACAGGACGAAAGAGATGATGAGGTGGTCACTCTCATTCCTCACTTCCCCAGCCTGACTGAGTCCCTGGTTCTCTCCCCATGCTCCCCGGGGTCCTTCGCAGCATGGCATCTTGCAGCCTTTGCAGGAAGGCTAGAAGGAACCACGTGTGCTCACCTGAACCAAGTAGCAGAAAGAGCAGGAGGCCCAGGCTCCTGGCTGTTGCCATCAGTGTTCAGCAGAATCCGGTGGCTGTGTGGCCTCCTAGTCGCAAGCTCTGTCCAACTGGCCTTCCTCCTGCCTGACGTGCGGTCACCGTTTCCTGTTTCTTCTTTCTTGTTCTTCCTGCCCAATGAATGGCGCCATCGGTGGGGTTGTGAAAGGTGGCTGCGAGGAACTAGGAAGTGCTCTGTGACCCACATGGTCCTGAGATCACCTGGAGATGGAACTGGGCTGAACTCCCACCACCCTGCCGGTGGGCACTGCGGAGCTGGAGTCCAGCAGCCACAGGTGTCTCTGCCCTGAGTAGGCTTGGAGTCTTGCACACCTTCCCCATTTCCCTAGCAAGGGTGTGGGAAGCTCATTTCCGCCTCTGTATGCGCGTAAGTGTGCATGCGTGTATATGACTTCCCTTCTTCCTGCCTGGTCCAGCAGTGGCCAGCTTGGGGACAGCGGCCGTCACTTCTCAGCGCGGATTACCATCTCATGCCAGTGTTGGTTAACTGATTATGCATCTCCTCCTCAGAGCAACTCCATGCATCTCAAGTCACGAGTCCTTCCCGTGCCTGTGACAGGGACCAAGTGGCGGACAGCTTGTGCACAAGCTGAGTGTCCGCGTCTGGATTTGACGAGACCTGTAACTGGCCAAGTACACCCTTGAAGGCCAAAGACTCGGAAGTCATATAAGACCAGGTGCAAACCTAACCTGCTGGGCCCAAGAAGAGAAGGGAGTTGATACTGTGGACCTCGAGCCCCTCCCTCAAGGCAGGATAACAGGGAGGATAAACTGGTGTCCTAGCGTCAGGAACAGGGGTGCGGGCCCTGTGGAGGTGGCCAGGATCTGGAGGAAGTGATCAGCCTGATATACCTGTCATGGCTACTGCCTGGCCTGGAGACCCTGCACTATCTGTCTGCTGCTTGGCCCCCCTCACGAGGCTTGGGCAGGACTCGTGACGTGTGTGGAGTTGGCCAGGACTAGCGCGTGACGGTAATGTGTGCTGCAAAGTTACTCGCCCTTCCCAAGCTGCTCACTGCTGGTCCAGGCAGGAAGAAAGGGACTCACATACATACACACGCACTTACGCACGTACACATATACACGTGCTTAGCGAAGGGGTGACCCCAAGGAAGTCATGGGTAAGGCCAGGCCCTTGGTGTTGTCACAGCCACCCAGTTGGACAGAAGACTCTCTTCACTAGCACCCCTCTCAGATCTGACCCTAGCTCTGCTCCACTCTGGGGTCTTTCTGGGGGAGCTGTTACTCGGTTGCTGTCCTCTGTCTCCCCTTCCTTCCACACGTCCCCTGCTAGGCCCTTAGACCTGAGGGGGTGTGAGAAGGGATGATGGGTCACTCTTGTTCTGGTAAAAGGTGGGTAAGGGACATAGCCTGGATTCCCAGGTCAGAATCCAGAAGTTCCTGTGTCCTGAGCTTCCTCTGACAGGAAGATGAGAGCCACCGGGCCTGCCCCTCCCTCCAGCCAGCCTCCTCTGGCTGCTTCTGGCCTCCCTCCTAGCGACAGGCAAGGGTAAAGATGTGTGAGATGCTGGGTCCTGGTGTCCTGGGGGCCACCCTAGAACCCATGCTGGCTCCATGGGTTCCTGAAAAGTGCTCTGTGTGCTGGCACCCAGTTCCCGAGCTTCGGGCAAGGGGGCTAGAGGTTAAAATACACAAACACACACAGACAGAGAGACAGCGACACGGGTCATCCTTGAATTCCCCAAGAATGCCCCCTTTATTGTGTTCAGGGCAGATTTATATAGAGATAGCCACGCCCCAGCCAAACCCACCAGAAACCACTCTCCTGTCATCAGGAACTCCTGAAGGTCTCGTGCTCAGAGCAGCTGTAGGCACTCAGATCAGGGGAAAACAAGTTGTTTACAAGAAATTCAGGATCTGGGGTCTCACTGCTCCCAACAGAAAAGGCCAAGTAATCCACAGACAACGGCATGGTGTCAAGTGTTCCTGGAAGGCCAGACAGGAGCAGCCAGGGAGGTGGAAGGGCCAGGCGAAAGACCCCCATGAGACCAGGGGCTGGCCTAGCATCCCTTCAAGAGCCCCGGGGTCCCCACATTTCAGGACTAACATAAGTGTAATGTCTCCTTCTACAACCTCCCTCCTCAGCTTATCCCAATGTTTTCTAGTCAGCAAGGCCTCAAGCCCTCTGCCAGGCCAGCCGGCATCACCTGGGCTACCCTGGTTGTATCACAAACAGAAAGGTGTCTCCGAGGCTCCCTAGCTTGTCTTAGTGGGAAAGTGTGTTGTCTACGCTCAGCCTAAAAAGGAGCCCCTTAAAGCCAATAGGGGTCCCACCCCTTTATCTGAGCTAGCCTTGAAACCAGAGGTTCTGGGAAGAAGTTAGAGGGTGCTTTCTGCCTGTGAGAGGGGAGAGGGTGTTGGTCAATAGGGCTCACAGAGACTTAGAGGCCTACAAGCACTGTGATCCTGCTCAGGCAAAGGGACTTGGGAAGGGTTGGTTCTTCCCTCAAAGGTGGGGACATAAGAGCCAAAGTAAGCCAGGCAGTAGAGGCAGATACTTTTGATGCCAGCACTTGTGAGGCAGAGGCAGGTGGATCTCTGAGTTCGAAGCCAGCCTGGTTTACATCGTGAGTTCTAGGACAGCCAGAGCTACATAGAGCAACCCTGTCTCAAAACAACCAAACAAATAAACAGCCCCCAAGTAGAATCAGAGGCTACCAAAGTTGTAGAGGAAGATTGGAGACATACATGGTACCAAGGGCTCCCACACGCCAAGGTCCCTGCAGGTCCCCAAATCTGCCACATTCATGCCTTGGTGTGGGAACTGCCCGTGTACCTAGATCCTCTGAGGCAGCATTGTCTGGTTACAGAGTGCCTGGTCTAGTTTACTTCCCAGCTTGCCCTGGAGCAGTGAAGGGTGGGGGTGGGGTGTGAGTGTAGATCCTGGCTGATCTCAGACTTCAAAAGCAGAGGAATTCCTTCCTTCCTCCTTCCCTTTCTTGACAGGGTCTCACTATATAACCCAGACTGGTCTTGAACTCTCAGTCCTTCTGCCTCAGCTTCTCAAGTACTGGGACTGTATGCACCACCACACCCTGCTTTTTATACCTTTGTACCTGGAGACAGATGGGGACAGTCACACATAAGGGGACACGGGAGACGTGTCTAACGTGTGTCACCTGACGAGGAGGAGAGACGTGAGGAGCAGAGTTGGGAGAAAAGCTGAACCATTTCATTTTTGCAGCCCACCTGCCTCAGACTGGTGGCCCACTGGTCCATGTATACCATGTCCGGTCAATGTCTGGGCTCAACTCTCAAGAATGACCTCCTTGGCTAGGAAGGTTTTGCATGTCCAAGATATTAAGATCAATGGATTTTTTACTTCCTAGTCTCGACCCCATGAAAGACAAATTATGTGGCTACCTAGGTCCTTCTCCACATCGCAATAGCCAGCTGCAGCCGATGGTCATGGTCTCCAGTTCACTGGGGCCATGCCACTGCCCAGCACCACCCCCAACAGACACCAGCTGCCCATTTCTCCATTTTCCTGAGAAGGTGTCCCCAAAAAGTGCGCGCGCGTGTTCACACACATAAAGCCGTACAAGTGTGCTCACACGCACGCACACACAAAGCCGCACACATGTGTGCACACGAACACACACACAAAGCCGCACACGCACAAAGCCGAGACGGAATCTCTCCAAACTGTGTTGCTTTGCCATGGCATCAGATAACAGCCAATTTTTATTTTTCTTCTCAACAATCTCCTACAGTTTCCAAACTCTACACAGAGCTTTAATATCAAAAGACAAATGAATTGGAGTTTTTTTAAAAAGAGCATATTTTCCTCATTTTGAAGGCTGAGGTCAAGATGAAATGCTACCTCCTGCAGGAAGTCCTCCTGGATTCCCAGTCAAGAGAAGTGGTTCCCCATCCCTATAACTAAAGCTCCAGGACACTGTGGAAGTTTCCAAGGGCCACTGCCAGATCTTCCCACCTGGCACAGGACCAAAGTGTGTTAGTGGGACAGAATCCATGACAGGCAGTCCAGTGTCTTCAGACCCATCTGCAGTGATTTGAAGATCACCCCTCAGGAGAACATCAATGTCTCTGCCAATGTCACCAGAGAAGGCTGTCTTCGTCTTCAGAATATTGGGTTGAAAAAAGCGCCGTTTCCCACAGTTCTTGCTGGAGGGAGGCTTCAGGAGAGGCGGAAGCCCCTCTGAGTTGTGAGCAAAGGGGAGGCAGCTTGGAGAGAAGCTCAGACAGGTTGGCCTGATCCAGCCCTAGAACCTTCCCTGAGCCAGAGGTGGTGAAAGGCCAAGGCCCACAGCAGATAGAAGTTTATAGCAGGCATCAGCTACCCCAAATCACAGCATAAACCTGGGACCCCGAGCTGCAGGTGAAGGGCTAGGGGACCACAGAGGAGGAGGGGATTGGGGGAAGGAAGAGGGCTGACAGGCAGGTAGCAGGAGGTGTTTGTCTCCTGAGGGGTTCTGGCTCCAGAGCTTCTCCCAGCCAGCCCATCCACCCTCAGCGTTATCCCCAGGATCAAAAGTCAGAGACAGGCAGAGTGCCGCACGGTGACCACGGGGACAGAGTGGCAAGAGCCAAGGCAGCTGTGTCTCAGGCAGGGGCAACCGTTCAGGATGTGTCAAACTCCAAAATCTAACCCTAACCGTGGCTTGGGCCTGCGAGTCTCACAGCTGGGCCCAGAGGTGACCAGTAAGGCAAGGCCTGAGGCTCCAGCCTGATACAGCTGTGAGGACAGCCCCACAGCCAGCATGGCAGTGTGCTTTGAGGACCAGATCTGGGAGCAGAGTAGTCCCCAAGGTCAGCTAGATGTCAACCTACCAGAACAACAGCCCTATCCCTCCAGGGACTAGGGCCTTCTCTACTACGATGCCCATACCCAACAAAGGCTGGGCACACAACCGAGCCACAGACAATGTGAACAGGCGCCATGCGTGTGTCCTCCCATGGGGAGGTGGGGCAGGGGCCTAGATGCGGCTGGAAGAGGTGCTGCCGGAGCTGATGGGGAGTTTGACACTGTCCGAGTTGTTCTTCAGAGGGGAGGGACCGCCTCGGGCCTGGAACCGCATGGACCAGTACCACAGGAAGATCAGGAAGCCTGTGGGCAGGGAGACACATGCATCAGTAGGAAGTGAGAGCCACGTCTGGCCCTTGGTTCCCTCTCAGAGTTCCTCTGTGCAGGACCCAGCCATATACTCAGGGCCCTGGAGTCACTCGTGATGATTCAGTACCCTGTGGCATGTCAGTGGTTCAGCGCTGGCCTTACATAGCAGCTTAGGGTCCCGTACCTCCAAGGGGACAAGAAGGAGATGTCTAACAACACTATTTTGGAATAAATTTCCTCATCCCTTTCCATCCCACAGTGACTCCACTGACTCTGACATAGCCGTGTGGCCCCTGGTCAGTCAGCACAGTCAGGTGCTCAAGTGTCTAGGCCTTTGTGTCTGAGTATAGGAGGCATGGGGTAGAGGCTGTGGACCCTGCCGGCCTCAAGGTGAGGCTCCCACTGCCTGACCTTCAGCCGCACTCCGCTCCCCAGCCTCCCAACACTTGTTCTAAACACAGGGCCTTTGCTTTTGCCCCTCCCCCACATGCTGCTCCTATCAGATCTCCCTGACCTGTGCCATAGGCAGGCTGCCCTGGGCATCTTGTCCGGGTGCAGAAAGAATCAGTGGGTCTGAGCAGGCTAGAGTTTGTCTTTTCAAGCCCCTGGTGAATCTGACATTGTTGACCCAAGACCACTGTCCCGGCCATTCCGGGTTCCTCACTTGTCATTGTCTACCATAGCTCTCCTACTCTGAGTCTCCTTGGTGGTCACACACTTTCTTGACCACACTGTCACCCTGTCAGCCTGGGGCTTAGCACGGGGCTATGTGCACACAGTAAGTTCTCAGTACAGGCTCGTCCTACATGTGGCCTGGGTACCCTCAGGAGCAAACTGAGGCCCAGAGAAGGGAGCACTTGTGGTTCCCTGGCCATCTCTTCCCTTTGCTCCACCTTTGGAGAAAGCACCAGATGGAGGGGTAAGGGCTACGGAGTAGGGGCGGGGCCCTCACCACGCCTACCTTGGAAGGAAGTTATGATGCTGAAGAGGTAGAGGATGACAAGCTGGAAGGTACCGGAAGCAAAGGAAAAGAAGACCAAGGCCCAGGGAAGACCGAGGACCAGGCTGAGGCCCAGCAGGGTCAGCACGTGGGGCCACTTCTGGTTGTGTGGGCGAAGTCGCAGGATCTGCACCACCATGGTGACCAGCATGGCCAGGTTGAAAAGGAACACCAGGCTGAAGAGGCCCAGGTTGGTGACATAGCTAACCAGAGAGTCCCGGATCCAGCACCTGGACGAGAGTAGGCAGCTCAGCAAGGGGAACTCAACTTAGGAGGGGGAGCAGCAGCAGGGTCCTTGTCGGTCCTGGGCGGTTCTGGGCTAGGCATTGGGAATGCTCGTCACGTACAAACACCACTGCCTTGCTGTCTTTGTGCCATTTTTAAAATCAGTTAGTTTTTAAAAAATATTTTATGATCTTTAATTATGTGTGTGTGTCTTCATGTAGATATGTTCACAGGAGTGCTGGGGCACAGAGGTCAGAGGGGTCAGATCTTTTGGAGTTACAGGTGTCAGTGAGCTGCCTGATGTGGGTGCTGGGAACCAAACTCAGCTCCTTTGCAAGAGCAGTGTGCACTGTTAACCACTGAGCCATCCTTGGTGTCATTTTTAAAGACACACCTACCAAGTTATCCAGCCAGATAGCTTTAAAGCAGGCATCAAGAAAACCATGTTCTTGACAGTACAAGGTTGAGGCAAACCCACCAGGCCTGGTGCAGCGGGGCAAATGTCATCTACATGGACCCAGTGGCAAGCATTCCTTCCAGGCCTGGGACTCAAGAGGCCTGGCTTCAGGTCTAATTTGAGGATGTCCGCTGCCAGATGGAATAAGTTAGGGGGATGGAGGAGGGCTCATCCATGCCCTCTAGGCCATAGGCCTCCATCTGCCTCAGAACCAGTGGATGTGGCAAGGAAACCTGATGGGGGACCATGTGGCCCAACACCTCTCCACTGAGGTCCAGAGAAGGGCTGGGCTCTGCGGCATGGGCACCTGAGTGCTGGGGGACAGTCTTGGCCTCTCTTAGGTCCTGTGGTCCTTAGCCCTGGGTTCTGGCCACCGCCAGGCCCATTCCTCCAGCTCACTGGAGCTCATAGCCTCTGGGCAGCATGGCCTGGCGAGGCTGCTGTCCCTGCTTCTCCCTCCAGGCCCACCCTCTGCCCCTGCCACAGCCACTCACATAGAGGGGTAGATGACACGGTCTGGAGTCCGGCGCACGGCCAGGATGATGGGGCCGTAGTTATTCACATCCACCAGCGCCACCAGAGCGACCAGGAAGACAGGAAAACCTGTGGGCAGTAAAGCAGAGGCTCTGGCTCCACCCTCTGAGTCCATTTCCTCTGTTCCCAGTGGACCTGAGCAGGTCCTCTCTGGTTTCCCATAATGGGTAGGCTCGCTTTCAACTTTGCCCTATCCCTTCCTGAGTCTCCCAGGAGAAAAGGTCTATGGTCCACTGTTGAAGCCTGATCAAACAAGGAAGATGAGAGAATGATGGGGCTGTGGGGGTGGACAGTAAGAGGACACCAGGAACTCTGGCAGGGAGGACAACTTTGACTCCCTGATAGCAGAAATGGAAAGTTCCATGTGGGGGTGGGGAATCCCCTCACACAGCCAAGGTTGCCACAGCCAGCTCGGGTTTTGTGAATCCTCTGGAGAAGGTGAATGAGACATGGGAAGAGCAGCAAGTGGGACCAGGGATGTGGGGAGGTCATTGTCTGTTCAGTGTCCAAAGTGACCCATAGTAGCAAACTCTGGGTCCCAGTATGACTTGAATAGCCTGAGACGCAGGTAGTGAATTGTCATCAGCCAAGAACAAATGCCAAAGTCATAGAGACTCTGCCACGTAGGTTTTGGGGGTCTATGGGTGGAGTCATTGCTAGTCTAAGTGGCCCCAGTCCAGGTAGAGGAAGGGAAGGGCAGAACCTGCTGCCTGTGCCTGGCCTGAAGCCCAGTGGACGGTGAATAAGACAGTGGGTGCTGGTGTCCCCTCTTCCCTGCCACTTACCCCAGCCCACGATGCTCAGCTTGAGCAGGTAGCCAGGAACGTAGGTACCAAAGACCTCTACCACCAGTCGGTAGAGGTTGTAGCCCTCAAGGCCCATCCAGGAGAGGCAGGCAAGCAGGGAGAAGTGCAGGAAGATGGCGCTAGTGCGACAGGCGGCCTCGGAGCCCGCCAGTGCCACAGGCTCACTGAGCAGGAAGCTCACATCCAGCAGGAAGACAGCCAGCAGAAGGTTCATGTGCACTTTGATGGTGTAGTCACGTGACTTCCTCCTACAAGAAGTATGTGCCAGTGAGCCAGGGCAGGGCCAGGGGTATGGCCCTGTTTTGTTCTCCCTCCTCTTCCTCCTCTCCTTTCCTCTTCTCTATGTCCCTCTTCCAGGAAGCCTTGTATGCCTGCTCCGTGGCTGTCTGTCGTGTGTGGCTCTGAGTAGCTGTGAACACATGCCCAGCAGCAGCACAGTGTGGTATCCCTGTACCCCAGGAGTCTAAACACATGCCCAGCAGCAGCACAGTGTGGTATCCCTGTACCCCAGGAGTCTAAGGCGTTCCAGAGCTGCAGACACTGGCCCCACAATAACCATCCTCAACTTGTTCTTTTATCCTACGCTGCCCTGAGCTAGTCCAGTCCACCTCAGACTGCCCGCTCCTCGACACAGTGGGAGATAGAGCTGGATAAGTGTCTGATGCAGGAAGACCGCATTTCCCACTCGTCCTCCTGCCTCTGCCCCTGCCCCTGCCCCTGTGCTCAGTGCCCTGCCCACCCCGGCCTCCATGAAGCCAATCATGGCATGCCTAGCCTTGGTGCACAGCTGCAGCGCATCTGGTCACGACGTACCTGATTATGACACACCTGTACCGAGTTCTACCCCTCCTGCTTCAGGACAACTGAAGACTTGTTGAGGGTCTCCCAGAGCCAAGAATGTCTCTCTTCCACCCAGGCAGGCCCAGGACATAACTGACCTCAATATAGTCTATGTCAAGCACTGACCATTGGACAATCACTTTCACTCCCTCGATGTGAGGCCTCAGAAATCTGTCACCCTCTTTGAACAGTGCATGGCATGTGGATACTCAGTCTGAAGTCACCTAGTCCCATTTCCATCATCCTGTATGCCCCATAGTTTGGGTTCTAATTGTTCACATCCTCAGCGCTAAAGCTGGACTGACTGTTAACTGTTGGTATCCAATGATGGCCGCATGAGGCCGTCAGTCCATGGCTTCCCAACAACACACATAGTTTGGGTGAAGCAAGCCTGCATGGTCCAAGGCTACACGGATGTAGAACCACACTGTTTCCTCCAGCCTACCTGGAGCAGAGGTAGGCGGCAATGGTGAAGACACACGCCAGAGCAGAGATGACACAGCCCACGTAGGACAGGAGCGTGAGGTAGTGCTTGTGAATGGCTTCTACCTCCGTGGATGACACCTGAACGGGGACAGAATGGCAGTCTCAGCACACTCCCCTCCCCAATAGCCAGTGTGTGCCCCTTCCGGATCAGCTGGGGGCTGGTAAGCCCCTCCCACCTGAATTCCCAATCCAGAGGCCTCTGGGACTCCCTCCCAACCCAGGCAGTCTCTGACTCTCAAAGACCAGGAATTCTCACCCAAGATGTGAGCTCTGGCCCAGCCTGAAACACACAAAGCCCTAGCTGAGGCAGTTTGAGCTGGGGACTGTCCATTCGACAATGGTTATCAAGCACCAGCTGCCAGGAGAAGCTGAGCTCAGACTTTGAAATCCCCTAGGGCCACTGAAGCTGCTTCAGCCCTCTGGGAAAGGGGATGGTCACCCTGTGTGCTTAGAAGAGCTGGTGTTGGGCACAGTATACATTTTTGATTTGGCATATTTTCTCCTCACAGTGGCTTTATCAGGATGTAACCACATTGTGAGGCAAGAAGAATCTTGGTTTTCATGATGTTCGGCCCAAAAGTTAAGCTCCCCAGCTTCTCACACCAAAGGATTCTGGGAGCATGAAGTCGGTCAATAAAGCCCCTGAGATATAGGGATTGAAGTGTCCCCATCTTAGTGGCTTCTGTTTGGGGGGCGTACAAGAAGCAGTGTCTTGGCCCAGCCTTGTGGGTGGGAATCTGCGTTTTCATCACACACCAAAACTTGAGAACAAAGAGCAAGCAGGAACTTTAGGTACCAGCACTTAATGACCTGCACAGCCTCAGGTGTGTGACTCAGCCTCCTTCCAGGCAGGATAATGATAGGAGCTACCTTGGAGGGTTATTTGGGATTAATTGAGTCAGTGGGTACCAAGTACATAACACAGCACACAACTTGACCTGTGGCCAAAATGCAAGGGAGTTATAGCGGAGACACCTACCATCAAAACCGCAAAGTAGGTCAGATGGCTGCACAGGCAGGATGTCTGCGTGTCTCTGTGGACGGTCTCACAGCCCGCACTGCTCCAGCTCCCAGGGTTGCTTGCTGAGGGGGATGCATGAGACTCTGATCGACCCCAGTCCTCGAGACCCCACCATGCCCTCTACACAGACTGGACTATTCCTGCAAGGTTTTCCTCCCCCCAGCAGAGCCCTGGCCTCCATCACTCCCTCCTCTAAGCCCATCTTCTCCAGAAACCCATCCCTGGGAATCTTCGTCTCTCCCAGACACCCCTCCATACTCACATGTCGGGTCTTCAACCCAGAACACACACTGCAGAGTCACATTCTTCTGTGGGGACAAGAAGAATGGGCCCTCCATAATTCATCCTCGGTGTTCCTTCTGCAGTCGACTCCCTGTGTTTTCTCTACAGTCTGCCCTCTGTTCTCTCTGCCCTCCTCCCATGGTCCTTCTATAGCCCACCTTAGTATCCTCTCCAGTCTATCTCTCCTTCTTCCTATGGCCCACCCTTCATATTCTCTTCACAGCCCACCTTGCAGCTCTCTCTCTCTCTCCCCTAATTTGGGACCTGGCTGTTAGGTGCTCTCAGCCAGACAACCTTTCCTTTCTCGACAAGTGAGTTGGGAAGGATGGGAGCAGGAAGGGACGCTTACCGGCTGGGGCTGGTGCTGGAAGGTGAGTACCACGGGCTCCGAGAGGTTGCTAACTTTGGTATTCTGTACAACAATACCCAAGACCTTCTCACCCAAGACTTGGCTAGAATTCTTGTCCTAGATATAAGAAGTTGGGGGGGGGGTACAGGTCAGATGTCGCGTCTCTACCTTGACCTGCAAGGAATGACGCGACCACCGGAGCTCTTCTCACTGCAGTTTATTCCAGGACTTTATTCACTTTCTCTCTCTCTTCCTTCCTCTCTCTTTCCTCTCTCTCTCCTTGCAAACCTCTCTCAGCCCTTAAGTAGGCATGGGCTGCCAACCCGGGCACTGCCCATAGGTTCACGCATATGCAGGCAGCTGATAATCATTGCGTGATCATAGTATAGGTCAGGCCTTAGCCATCTCAGGAGTTGATTATACATCTCCATCAGGTGTGACTCCACGCAGCTCGCTACAGTCAGATATATGAAGTTGGGGGTGAGGAAGGCAGGTCGGAGGTTTAAGCCTGAGAAGAAAAGCTAAGGAGGCCTCCACCCACTCTTGCCAGACTTCCATCACTCCTAGCATTTTGCTTTCAGAGTCTTGTGGGTCGTTCACACTGTCGTGAGAACACAGAGCCTCTTACACCTCTCCCAAGAGATTTGGGCCTTGCCCTGCCCTTTCTGCTTTTATAGGAGAGGCTTTGGCTCCTGGAGGAAAGAGACTAGCTACTGTCTTCCCCACCTCTCTGTCAGACATACAAAATCAGTTCCCCAAAGAGTAGGCAGGGAAGACTCCATACCTGGAACAAGGCCTGGCTGCTGAAATCCACCACCAGGAGCCTCTTGGCGGCATCCCTGCGACGGCCTCTGGTCTGCTGGAAGAGGGCCCGCGGCAGCCGCACCGAGTACCCCTGGACCTCACTCTGCCCCTCCTGCGTATCAAGGACCATCAGTGCCCGGCCCAGCGTATGCCCCAGGTCCCGCCACCCCGACCTTGCAAACCCCCCCCCCCCTTCTAAACACTGTACTCTGGGCAACACCACATGAGGCCTGGGAGTCAGGTGGCAGGAGTCTAGGTTAGGAGACCCTCAATGGAGTCTTACAATCTGGGCCTTCAGACACTAGCTCTCCCATGGGCTGTGGATTGTCCCTGGACTCAGGGCAAGCCAAGGGGTACCATGCTATATGGAATGCTCCCATTTGCCTTTCCAGCCCACTCTACCCTGGGTCACCCGACCTCCTGCTGGGAGTGGATTTGCAGATCCTCTAGCCCGGCTGTGGGTGGCAGCTTCCACACTGTGGCATTGATCAGGTCCTCCTCAAAGGATAGAGTATCTCCCAGGAAGCTCACAGAGGTTAGCTTTGACTCCAGACTCTGTAACCGCCTGGTATGGGGGTGGGAGGGATACATGGTAGGTGACAGAGGAAAGGGCCAGGGCAGGGGATCTAGATACACAGGGCAGTCAGGAACAGAGGACAGGGGACCAAGGACAAAGGCAGCTGTATGGAGATGGGGAAGTGGCAGCGAGGGGCATTGTTCTAGAATTCAGCCCATGTCTGTGACCCACTTATGCCTGAGCTGGTCCCAGCCTCTCAGAGATTCAATGTGCTAAACGCCAGGATGGAGTCTCTTGTGGGGAAGAGGCGGGGCACTACCTGGCTCTGCACTGATATCTATCTTTGCTGAGAGCCCAGCAGGATCTAATGGGGAGGTCCAGCCTCAGGGAAGAAGTCCCTGGACCCAGGTCAGATCTCCCACCAACCCCTAAGAAAGTAATCCACACTCACTGGCTGATGAGCGCTGATGAGGGCCTCCTGGAGGCCTTCTGAGGATGCTGCAGGAAACTGCTGAGCAGCTGCAGTTCCTTCTTCAGATCACACATGTCCACAGATGCATTGTGGGAGACCTGCGGGGCATCTGGGAAGGCAACAGACTGCCTGAAGTTGCCACCTAGAGAATGGCCAGCATACAACCCTATGCAACCCTCATGTGGTACTCCACACTTTTATTGACTTTGCAGAAGGAACCAAGGATGCAAGAGGTGGAGGAGACCACAGGTCACTGAAACATGAAGGAAGGTTGTGTCTCCTGAGGTCTACTGTACATTCCCCTTGGGGAGAATGTGGGTTCTTTGTGCCAGCTCTGGGGACCTCACAACCTCTAGCCTTTGTCTCCAGGACCTTCTAAGTTGGGTGTCATCAGGGACTTGAGGAGACCCAGACGATAAAGGCAGGCAGAAAAGGCATTCATTCCCTAACCCACATGGGCATGGTCCCCAGGCCTCCCTGCCAATCTCCCTGTTTTCCTGAACTTTGACCCTCTTAATTTCTCCTGACCCTACCCATCAGCTGCTAGATTCACACCCCAAACCCCCAGTTTGTTAGTTGTATAGCTCTGTGTACCTCAGTTTCCTCTCTATTGACACAAAGGTGTATGGAACATGCCTATAGTTCATGTTGCTTCTATCCATACTTTGTTTTTTTAATGATCTAATTAAATAATTATCAGTTTATTTATTTACTTATTTGTGTGTGTGTGTGTGTGTGTGAGAGAGAGAGAGAGAGAGAGAGAGAGAGAGAGAGAGAGAGAGAGAGAGAGAGAGGAAAGTACATGTATGTGTGTCCATGTTGGGTTCCTGCAGAGACCAGAGGAGGATGTGGGGGATCCTGGAACTGGAATTACAGATGTTTGGGGGCTACCTAATGTAGGTGCTGGGAACTAAACTTGTGTCCTCTGCAAAAGCAGCAACTGTTCTTAACCACTCTCCAGCCCTTGTACTTTGAATAGAAGCTGGACTGTGGTTCTGCCAATGCTGATATTTCCTAACGGTACATTCCCAGGTCAAGTTGTGTTCCTCCTCCCCTCCACTCCCTGTGTCCTGACCTTCATGTGTGTGTAATTATGACCTCCATGTGTGCTCTGCACCCTAAGACTTGTAAATAATAAATTTTCTCCATCCCTTGCTCTCCGTGAGAGTTAAATCTGATTATCTACCTGACAGGATCTAGAATCACCTAGGACACAAGCCTTGAGGCGTGACTGTGAGTGATTATGTAGATCAGGTTAACAAAGATTGGAGGACCCACCCTACAAGTGGGCAGCACCATCCCCTAGGCTTGAGTCCTGGGCTGGATAAGGAGGAGGGAAGCTTGTATCCATCACAGCCTGCTTTCTGATCAGAGATGCAAATGACCAGCTGCCTCCAGCACCTGCCGCCAGGACTTCCCCACCATGATGGACTGTGCCCTATAGCTGGGAACCAAAATAAACCCTTTCTCCCTGGATGTTGCTTTTGTTAGAGCACTTGATCATAGAGAGGAAAAGTAACTAAATCACTCTCCTAATGGCTGAAGAGATGCTGTAGCCATCACAAAGGGACAGACAGGATGCTGCAGGGCTGGTGTAGTTCTCCAGTGTGGCCGCCGCGGGGCTCCACCTTCCTACCCTCACCTATGCTTTTCCACAGAGCTTCCAGAAGTTCTCCTTGGATCCCACTCCTCCCCTCCTCAGACACCTTTCATGGCTCCCTACTATGGTGACCATAGCTGCCATCAGAACCCAGGTCCTCCGTGATGGGCTTTCCATTTTGCCTCCCATCCCACATCCATTTGTTCCTTACTGTGGAAAGAGAAGCGGAAGATGGCAGCCCCAGGAAGGCTGGTGTTCTGGGGGCTCCGCCAGGAGCTGACGGAGGTGGCAAGTAACGGGACCCCCTGCTCCGAGCTCTGCTCCTGTTTCCGGAAGCAGAGGGGGCTGGAGGCTTCGCTACTCAGCAAGTAAGGGGTCTTGCCGTAGCGCAGATAGAGCGTTCCTGTGTGGCGGCTCCAGTAGAGGCAGAAGTGGTAGAGCCCTCTGGGCTCTGGGAATGAGCGAGGGAGCTCAGGGGCTGCAGAGAAGGGGGCGTGGATCGTGAGGGCCTCGTCCGTGTTCCGCACAGAGATGTGCAGCTCCGGAATTTGGCTGTAACGGAGCCAGCTCCGTTGTGTCTGGTTCCGCTGGCCACAGAAGCGGAAGTCTTCTCGGGGACTGCCACCGAGGGCACCTGAGGAGGCAGAGGCAATAGATGGGACCAAACACGGGCAAGGACCCGGGACTCACACACATTCCAAACCTCTACACTTCAAGGATCTATAACAATGTATCTATCCTGCTAGAACATTACTGGTTTCAAACAAAAACCAAAGCAAAAACAAAACTGGAAATAAAGAATGATTTCAAAGTCAAAAGCCCAACTTTAATACAAGTTATTTAATGAGAACATAGCGGCCATTGACTGTTGCACAAGTGTGGGCTGTCCAAGAATCTGCCCAGGAGTGAGAGGCTGACACCCAGTCTGCGAACCCCACCCCGAGCTGTGTTCTGTGAATCTCAGAAGGAAGAGGTACCTTTCGGCTTCCCCCAAGGTGCCCTCAACCAGCTTAAGCTGTGCTCTGCAGACCCACCTCTTACCCAAAGAGTCCACTCACAGACGTGGAGACATTAACTAACAGTCATGACAGTCCCAGGGCCCCCAAAAAGCCTACCTTGAGCCAGGAAGAACAGACTCAGTAGGAGATACACCGTCTGCCGCAGCAGCTGGACCGCCATTGTACTCCCCAGAAGTCACCACCTGGGAAAGAGTGAGAGCATTATTGGGGGGGGGGGGCAGCCCCACAGCGGGAGCCTATATATAGGTGGGGTATGAGCTACAGGTCATACAGAAACGGTCAGGCCTCCTCTCCAGAGCAGCCAGAGGCTATCAAGAGGCACAGTCACCACTCTCCACAGAGTGTAAGCGGCTCATGCGAGGCGGGGGGCGGGGCAGGGGGTGTCCCAGAGGCCATAGAGTGGCCCTGTCTAGAATTCACCTTGCAGCTACCAGGTTTAGAGGCCAAGCAGGGGAAATGGGCTGTGTGTCATGACCACCAGGGGGAGCCAACCACCAGGGTCTGGGAAGCTGGAGCCGAGACATGCTCTTTGTGGTGGTGTCTACCCACTCACCCCTACCCTGGTGCCCTATGAGGGCCAGCTCCATTCACGCCACACTGACTCCATAGGCCACTATTAGCTGGGTGCCAGATGGCTACCAACCTAGGCAGCTCTTTACCCTAACACCTACATAAACACACACTAACACTGGAGCTAGCTCTATTGTTGGCTCTCCTGCTAGCCCAGTGACTAAGCTGGGTGCTGACAGACCCTGACTACCATCCCTCAGCCTATGGAGATCTCCTATCGGGAACTCTGTCAGGCCACAATGACGGACACTCATCTGCTGGGCCCAGACACTTGGGGCACAAAAGAAGTTGAGTTTGGAGGGAAACTAAAAGGGCCCTCTAGAAGAGGCAGATGTTAAACTCCATGCCCATGTGACCCAAGCAGGATCCTCCTTCCTATCTCCTTCCTGCGCCTCATTCTGCTCATGCTGGCCCCTCAAGCGAGAACCAGTCCCACACACCCAAACATGAAGAGCATCTGAACGTGAGGAACGGAATCTCACGTGGTGCTGGAGCATCACAGAGAGAACAGGAAAGTTGTTGGGGAGCTAGTATGCCCTCCATGTGGGCTTCCCCGCATCCAGACAACCACTGCCAGTCACCCAGAACCAGCAGAAGGCCAGCATCTAGGAGCAGGCCAGATCCCCCCTTCCCTCTGTGGTCCCTGACACTGTCCACCCTTCCTTTCCCTCTGCAGCGCCTGTCACTCAACCTTCAGTCCGAATGTCTCTCTTTCCACATAGACTCCTCGCTCCTCACTTCAACTTGAAGCTCATGAATCACTTGAAAACTTGATCCAATTTCCACTTTTTGATGAGACAGTCAACAATTCATGAGGTCACACAGCTGGTGGAGGACTCATGTCCCTCTCAGCGTGGGCCACCGCGGTCAGCAGAGGGCCCAGGACAGGACAGAGCCATTTGTCTTACACCAATCCTCCCCAACTGACCCTTGAGAACACAGGAGGCCTGGAAGGGAATGAGCAAGGGAAAAACCCAGTGAGGCTGGGTCACCCTGATCACCCTGGCAACCCGTGGAAGGGGTCAAACACAAACAAGGGGCCCTACTGCCCCTCCACCTAGTCCCTGTTCAACCCCAGCTGTGTGGAACCACTCTAAAGAGGACGAGCGCCCCTGCCAGCATTCTTAGGTTTGGATGAGGAGGTATTTGTTGCTTGGATCTCTTAGTGGACTCCAGAGTCAGACCGCCTGGGTTCAAATCCCAGCTCCCATATTTCACCCGTGTGTGTTTCTCGCCATATTTGGGCTTCACTTCCCTTGTAAAAGAGGATTGCAAACCAAGATGCCATTTGAGAATTAAGTCTGTTGTTCTCCATAAAGGGCTTTGGACCGGGATGCACACAGGGTAGGTACCACTGAAGTCCGACCATCTCTGTGTACCTTCTAACCAGTGCATGCCTGGCCGGGACCCAGAACCCTTCCCCCAACTCCTTATCCTATGCTTCCCTCCTCACTCAGTCCCCTGCCCTCTGCAGGTGGCCAGCTTGGCCTTCAGAGCGCTTGAGGGGAAATTCCTAGAACATGAGCCTCCCTTCCGGATAGAGTAGCAGAGTAGCGGGAAGGCTGCGGGCCCCACCCAGAGAACTTCCCTCCTCCAAGCGGGCCCTGAGTGTCACAGACTCCCAGGGGCAGAGAGAGAGGGGACGATGGGGGTGGGGCTGCTCTTCAGACAACTAAAGCTTATCCACACAGGTCAGGGAGACTACTGCTCTATTTACCCACTTAGCGTATTCCTGCCTGAGTCCCTCCCAGGGCTATCTATAGATGTACACTTGCCACCAACCTCATACCCCAAAGGGCACAGGCAATGCCTACAATGGAGCACCTACTGCCTCCTGCAGGCATCCTCAGATCTGGTCACCTATTCCTCACAGCCTGGCACCTGGCCAGAGAGAGGGGCCTCTGTGTTCCAGAAACCAAATCTGGGAAGCAGAGGCCCACTTCCTGGGGACTACCTCTGACCTGCACAGATGATGTCCCTCTCACAGACGATGAACGGCAGAGCAGACAAGCCTTGGTCCCCAAATGCCAAGCCAACACAAAGTTGTGCCACCTGCCACAGCACTGCCAGAAGCAACGGTTATTGAGGGTGTGGGTCCACAGCCTCACCCCAATAGTAACAGCGACCTCTGAAGAGTGACCGGGTACAAATGCGGAAACTGAGGCCAGAAAAAAAAAGGCCATCTCTCCCAAGAGCACACAGGGCTGCTGCTGAGCCCTCTCTTCAAAAGTCCCTAAGGTTTTCAAAAAACCCCTGGTTTGGGGTCCCCCGAGAGAGAGAAGCAGGAGCTGTGGAGGTCACAGACACACGGTAGGCAAGTGCGGCCTGGAGAGAAGTAGCTGCTGGGCTGAGCCCCCTACTCCCCATTCTTTCAGAGTGGCCATCCTTGACCTCGGCTTCTGGTAAACAGGCAGAGAACAGAACAAACTGAGCCAGCCCGACACAATGGAGGATATCACAGGGTCCCCAGGGATTCCCTGGAGTAGAGGGGGCAGGGCTGTGTGAGCCCAGACACCCCCATTCCTAGCATGACTGATTTCTGGGGAGGGGTCCCCCGCATGACGGGCAGCAGTCCCAGAGCTCACTTTCTCTCCTGAGGCCTGAGTCACTTCCCCTGCCATTCCAGGACACTGCCAGCTCCTGGAAAACCCATTTCCTCCTTGGATGGAGGTGGAAGTTGAATGGATGGGACTAGGAGGGCTCTGGATTAACCCTTCAAGTGGCCAGCGGTACCCCCTTCCACTGGGGTTACAGGGTATCCCAAGGGTATATGTCATTGCCTCGGGCCTTTGCCAGGATATCCTGGGTTCTGAACGGCAGATTTCCACTGTGATTTTCTGCACAAAGCCCGAGTCTACAGGAGTAGACTCCCAACCACACACAGCCCTGTGTGTCTCCCTGCCAAGGGCTGGCCCCATTAGAGGTGTCCCAAACTGCCAGTAGCCTGAGAACCCCGCCCCCCCAGGAAGATGCTGTGAAGGATATGGCCTGGGTCCTGTGCACCACAGCTCAGGTGGGGCTCATAGCCGGGCTTTGGCAGGATCCAGTGATTGAAAGGCCACGTGTGGGAACCAGGGGTACCCAGCAGCTGGACTTGGGCAGCATTGGAGCAGGCAAGGACCTGCTGCATTTGCTTGACTGGGAAATACAAACCTTGGACAGGGAAAGGGGCAGCCCACCTCTCCTGACTCTTGTCTCTTCCCCATGACATGGCACGTGGTCCACAGTATTTGGCAAGGGGCCGACCATCTGAGGGACCTCCCACAGGATAGCCCAAAAAAGGAGGTAAAGCCCATGGGAGGAAGTAGGGAGCCAACTACTTTCCAGGTTCGAGCCTCCTGTGATCAACCCAGGCCCTGTCTGGGGAGACAGAGGAGAGGCCCAGCATATGATCAGTTACTTTCTAACACATTCTGTAGAATGTGTTCCTGGAGAGCTTTGGAGACTCGGGGAGAGGACAGGGTACCTTCGGAGTATAAGCATGCAGAACTGCAAGTGTGTGTCCACAAGCCGATGAGCGTGCATTTGCAGTATGCACTGGGTGAAGAGAGAGGTGAGGAAGGCTGAGCAGACTATGTTTTTTTCTGCAGAGGAGGCAACTCAACCAAGGCCAAAATGGGAGTGAGGCACATGATTGGCACAGGCTTGTGTATGCCGCCTCATAGAGCACAGGGCTGAGAGGATCCTCCCTCCCGCATCTTCCAGATGTGGCCCTTCACGACAGCTCCCCACTTCAAGCACTGCATGTCCAGATACTCAGAGGAGATGCTAACCAGACCAGGGACCAGAGATGCCTCCCTGCTCAGCCAGAGCACACTGGGCTATGCCCCTGCCCCGCCCCGCTTCTGAGCACAATACTTGTAAAGGCTGGGTCCTGCTTTCTTCATCTGTCCCCGTGCCACAGTTGGGTGACTGACACCCAAGCAATCTGACCCCTCCAGAACCTACCCCTCACTGAGAAGGAACACTGGGGTCATAGGGGCAGCACAGTGACTTCAGGCTTCAGGAATCTGTCTAGACTGCATGATAATAAAAATCAAGCCGGCACCTGCTGGAAGCTGGCAGGTTCCCAGGCCTTACCCACTAGGGCAAGGCTCACTTTCTGTGTTTGTTTATTTGTTTATTTGTCTTGCACTTAGCCTGGGTTGGCCTCAAACTCAATACCCCTGCCTCAGCCTCTCAAGTGCCAGGATTCCAGGCCTGAGCCACCGCATTGGGTATGGTTGCCATTCTAAACCCAGCCTTGCTATAGAACCACACAGCTAGCATGGGCTTCGCCTTCCTGTGGTTTCCTGCCTATGTCCATGAACTGTACCACCCTTTGCCAGCCCTGCCCCATAGGGAAACCAAGGGAGGGGAGATGTGGGTATTGAGTACCAGCCAGCAGAGGGCCTGTGGGCACAAAGGACTCTCAACCTCAGCAGCTGACCATTCTGCAGTTTCCTGTTCCTACAAGTAGACATGCATATGGAAGACCCAAGGAAGGCCAAGGGATCTTCACCAAGCAGGGATGAGCTGGCCTTGGCCACTCCCTTAACTGTTCTTACACACAGGCCCTTCCTGTGGTTCTAGCTTGTCACATAGCCACGGTCCGGGGCTCAGGCCTCTGCCT